TCACTCGGGAAAAATATTTTAAACCATGGTAGTTTAATTTTAGCATTTTTATATGATGAAATGTTTTTATATATCCATACTCAGTAAAACCCGCTTAAGTACCTCACGAAAAATGTCAGCTTTTTGAGGTACTTAGGCGGGTTGGGTACTTAAAAGAACCCGCTTAAGTACCTCGATGCGGGTACTTAAGCGAACATAATTATTGATGTACCTCAATTTTTCGTACCCCATTTACCATTTTACCTAAAATTTTCCCTTTTTAAGTGCTCTTTTAAAATTCCTTAAAATATTTACATATTCTGAATCTCAGCGGCAGCGTTACACACCTTCGGCAAAAAAAAATTATAAAAAATCAACGGTAATTTTTAGCCACTTCAAACTCGCACATTATTGCACTAAAATTGAATGGGCTATAAAACTGCATCCTCAAAAAACACATCTGAAAAAAATTGAAATTTTGATGAATTTTTTTCTTTAAGTGTTCTATAAAACCGTAAGCTTAGGTTTACATGGTATTTGTTAGGGAATGAACTGTATTTTAATTGAAAAATCTTAAATAAATACATATACATACTTCATTAAAGTTTATGTTTTATTCAAGGATTTACATATTTATGTAAGTTAACAAAAAGATGTAACTACATCAATAATTATGTTCGCTTAAGTACCCGCATCAAGGTACTTAAGCGGGTTCTTTTAAGTACTCAAAAAGCTGACATTTTTCGTGAGGTACTTAAGCGGGTTTTACTGTAGTTCAGTGGTGCACAGCGCTGGCAGCAGTGTTGCCGTTTTAGCCCTTTGGTGGCTAAATTTGGCTACCAAATTCTTTTTTTGGCCACAAAAATTTGAAATTGCCCCTAGCCCTTTTTTTAGCCCTTTTCAAAATTTATTCATCATTGACATAAAATTTTTTTTTATGATTTTCATGAATTTAACTCTTCGCTCATAAAGCGAACGCCTTTCCTTTAAGGCAAGTAAACATATGTCTATGTATGTTCCTTACGTTTCTGGGCCGTTATCTTATCCGTTAACGATTTAACTATACTTTAAAATAGGTAAGTTGTTACACAAAAATTTTTTTTGTTCAATAAAAAATTAATTCTTTTCAGAGTTCATTGTGTTTCTATACCAGTAATTATAGAAAATGTTTGCGTGTATACTTACATATTTATACTAGCAGTACCCCGGTGTGCTTCTCTACACCAAATATTGAAAAACGAATGAAAAGTCCTGGAATTTTTCTATATGAGAATTTATCATTTGTTTTATTTCAAAATTTTTGATTCTTTATTTTAAATCTTAATCCAACACATTTATATCGATATATCGATATATCGATGTTTTTCTGGCGATGTATTTTAGCATCGATGTTCATTGCTCCGATGCATCCAAATATCGATGTATCGATGTTACTCCCCAAAATTTGCATCCCTATGGCTGGCTGCTAGCGTCGTACACACGACTTGTACGCATGCCGCGGTTTGACACTCCCTTACAAAAGGTTCCTTTTNTATTTCAAAATTTTTGATTCTTTATTTTAAATCTTAATCCAACACATTTATATCGATATATCGATATATCGATGTTTTTCTGGCGATGTATTTTAGCATCGATGTTCATTGCTCCGATGCATCCAAATATCGATGTATCGATGTTACTCCCCAAAATTTGCATCCCTATGGCTGGCTGCTAGCGTCGTACACACGACTTGTACGCATGCCGNTTCAATAATACAAGGTTAGATAATTATTGACAGCCGCGGTTTGACACTCCCTTACAAAAGGTTCCTTTTACGAAGTATGGGGAAAGGGGAGGAATGAAATCCAATTGCTGCGAAAATGGTACTAGAAAAGAACCCAAAATAGGCAAATAGTAGGGAAATTCCTTTTGTAAATTCTAATGTATTTGCAGGAAATCTGGCATTTTAAACGAAATATTGAACGAAATGTTAATATATCTACGTGAATTACGCAATTTTTGTGCTATTTAGCCGTATAAAAACTGCAAAAATACTCAAAATTAAAATAAAACTACTATGAGATTTATGTAAACATCCAATTTAAAAACAGGTTATGTTTTCATCAGTTAAATGTGCTTCAGATGCATATACAAATAAAAATATTGCACAAAAGCTTGTACTTCTATTTCACAGCAAAGCAACACTTTTTCCAAGTAAATTTGCAAAGAAGCAACACGGTGCCACTGCTAAGGGAGCGGTGCGAGAGAGACAACTGTCAGTTTATCGAACCTTGTATTATTGAATCATGGTACGCATGGTGGAATAATAACAAGGTGTTGTCAGCAACGACGTGTTTGTTGTGATTTTGACAAGATCGGCATGCTTATTTTCAGTGCTGCCGATCTTAATTTTTATCCTACTATTCGTTGGGAAATAGTATCTAAAATACTCCATTTTAGTAATTCGTTTTATCGCGATTTTTAAAGAACTTGGTGTTTTCAGAACAATATTAATATTTAAAAATGCTTGATTTGTATAATTTTTGTCCTCAAAAAGTAGAAAAATAAACGATGTCTTGGTTATCAATGAAAAAAAAACGTACACAAAAATCGAATGGACAGGCGATTTTTTATATTAAATAACTTTTGCTGCATTGTCATAATATTGAGCCAAATGAACTACTGATACACTAGAATAGAGTGGCTGTATGGTTAAATTAGGAATTCGCTTATATTATCGATATTTATGTGTTTTAATCTATTTAGAAAATCATTTACAGTCTTATAGAAAATTGCCTTATTTTACGGCTTTTACAAGTTACAATATATGTCCAAGCTGTGTGGAGCTCCCGATACAAACATATATTCAGGCTTATAAGCCTGTAGTTATACATTTTTCTACATTTAATTTGAAATAGTATGCACCAACGGATTAAAAGTAGTAAATAATAAATAATATAAAAAAAAAACTTTTTAATATACAACGCTTTTATAAATGGACTAAAAAGTAGAAAATAATACTTCTCAGTCCCATAGAATTTGTTTTGATAACTTTTGATTTTGAAATTTTAGCAAAAGTCATTATAAACAATCTATGAAATTGAAAATGAAAA